CTAGGCTGTGGCCCTGACGGGCCCACGCAACGCGCTAAGGCGCCTGTCCGATATGGCGAACTAAAACGGCCGGAAGCAAGAACCCGGACAATGCCCACCTTTTGTCGTTTAGTCATGAGTCTGTGTTGCATAGTCCACATGGCCTCTGTAAGTCTGCTAAAGAGTATGTGCTCACTACCTGAGTGAATATGTGAAAACCAAGTAGAGTATAGCCTTTGGCCCAATGCCCTAAATGATAGCATGATGACCCATATGACTTTCTTCACAAAACGGGTCTTTGCCAGAACCACCAGTGCAGAGTTGCATCGTCAGTTTAACAGCGCAAATCAGTGTGGATGCCGCAGCTACGCATCGCGCATTGCCCAACCAGACATCATCTCAAAGCATGGCTTGAGGCAGCCATTTCCGGAACTCCCCCTTCTTGCTGCCGACTCCTCCTCCAGTTGCCTCGGCGCTCGAACAGCGTGATCATCCTCGAACTTCTGCGCGGTGTGCCTGCGCACAACGCGGAGCAGTAAACATACAGAACTATAGCCGGCCGCAATGGCTTGCCGATGGACCGACGGATGTCTGCCCCCTCAACATGTCCAACCTCCCCCAAAAAAAGGAGGTGCGTACTATCAGGCCAATATAGCCGGCGTGGTTGCCAAAGTTTTACAGAGATCGTACGACGATTCAGACCACCAGTCACAAGTTGCAACACGAGGCCGCTTATTATTGCAATGTGTGTCTTGGATTTAGGAATGCGGGTTGCGCATGCCCATGGTGTAGGAGTGCCTCTACTGTACGCCTCTGAAAAGAAAGCAACAAGGAATATCCCCCGCCTTGCTTGGCGTCGCACAGTCAACGCCTGCATTCCTGATCGTTTTGCGAACGTACCTTGGGGCGACACCAAAATCAAAGAACTTGGAACGAACGGCAAACAAAATGGAATTAATCACACTTGTCCACGCTAGTCCCCACTTGCTGGACTCGCCCAAGTGTTAGCGGCAATCCGGCGAACGGGTAAAATACAACAACAGTAAAAGGGCGCCCGTCTTGCAGCCAAGACACTCAGCCAAGCGGATCTTGCTGCCCAGACCCGGGCTGCAGTCGCATATGCGTGGTCGGGATTACACTGCGCGCATGAGTCTGACGGGCTGACACTGGTATGGTGGGATTGACTGCGAGGTTCACTGCCAGACTGGGCATTTGGTCAGTTGGTCGGTTCATTGGTTGCTTGATCAGTTGCGTGGCTCGGTTGGTTGCCAAGTTGCTTGGTGGGTGAGTGGTTGATTGGTTGACAGGTTGTTTTCTGGTTGAAAGATTGCCAGGCTAGTCGATTGGTTAAGAGTCTAGTCAGGAGGTAAGAGTTGTTAAGAATTTGGTCATGCGTGACGCAGTCTTGTTGCTTCTGATTGAAAGACAAAACCAAACTAGAAACACAATGCTCGCGGCTCGATCTCATGGTTGTCAAGCCTGACAGCGTTCAAGAATCAAGATTCTAGACTCAATACTTGCTGAGCACGGTGGCTGAGCGTGTGAACAGTTTGCAACACCCCCAACATATGAGCGTGAAGTCCTCAGATTTCGATCAAGCCGCAGCGAGCAAGCCAAGGGCCCATAAGCATGTTGCGCCCGCGTTGTAGGGAAGCTGAACAACATGGTGTGAGGCACGCCCTCCGAGATAAATGCGAGGTGCCCATGTTGCACCATGTCGGTTTCAACACACTTCGTGTCACCGCAAACTCCGAGGATGCTAGCGCAACACTAGCGCAGCGTAGTCAACAACGTTCCAATGTCTTCCACTTCCACATGTTGCATGACATGACCAATGTCAGTCCATGCAAATGGCCCATTGTTATTTGCAAGCATGCCTAAGAGGCAGTAGTTGTCACATAGGTACAAGCCGGAGTTGCGAGCTACGAGATATAAGATATGAGTTCACAGGGGCACAAGTTGTAAGTGGTAAGATGTAAGCTATAGGTTCTAAGTCAGATGTGTCAAACTATGTCACCAAACATGAGCGTCATCAGTCATGATTCCTGCTTCATGAGTCATGAGTCAATAGTCGGTTCTACTTGTGAACCAGTGATCATGGGTGTGAGTATTAGTGCTGAGTGAGCCGTGAGTCATCAGATATGTCGGAGTCATAGACGATGAGTCCATGAGTCATGCATCATGGATAGTGTCACGAGTCATGAGTCGTGACTCCACACGGCAAGCGTCATGAGACAGGTTGGAGCTGGCCATAAGGGTCATGATGAGGCAAGCGTTGAAGTATAAGCGCAATAACGTCGTCATAGCTTGTGAGCCAGAGTTAGAAGTTATAAGTTGTAAGTAGTTAGCCATTTTGGTCAAGTCTTACGTGCCGCAGAAATCACAAAGGTCATACGACTCATGCGCGTGATGTCTAGCCAATGTATAGCGTTGTCACTGCTCACGAGTCATGAGTCATGAGTCATATGATGATGTCGTGATTCAATATCATAGATGTTTTATATCCTAACTCAGAACTATAGCCGACACAGATAACTTCTCGACCCCTATCTATGACTACAACTTATACGAACTATGATTGATTTTCATATGCGTACGAAGTTTGAATCACATATGGACCATTTGACCACGACTCATATTGCTAATCATTCGGGGCAAAACGGATGTGGTCGGTAGACTGTGTGCCCACTAGAATGGCTTAGGCGAAACCCAAAACGGCATTGTGAACGTTTGCGAACCTGACCAAGGTGTGCAAACGTTTGCGAAGGAACATCTACAATTTGCAACAAAAATCCAGCCGAAGCTTTCGAACGCAGCCGGCGTTATGCAAACCCACGGAGGTTGGGTGAACCTGTCGCGAACGCCAGGCAGGCTAGGCGAACCCGTACGAAAATGCATTTCTACTGTTCCCGTGAAGTAACCATATGGGTGAATCGTGAATCGTATAGCCTGAGTCTAAGCTCTACAACTTACATCAATGTTTTTAAAGTTTAACATGACGGTTCATTTCATACTGATTCTGATGATGATTAAGCAAATAGTACTGGCTATTACTTAGTGAAGTTTTGAGACATTAGAGCAGTGATAGCAACGCACACTGGTGACGGGTTGTTCCTGTCATCCTCTCACAAATTCCTACACGGCATAGCGAACTGGTTGCACACGACACCGCTTAAACCGTCCTTCTCCTGTTGTGCTCCCATTCGTCGTCCTGTCGTCCTCCCGTCGTCCTCTTGTCGTCCTTCCGTCGTCCTTCCGTCGTCTCTCCGTCGTCCTTCCGTCGTCCTTCCGTCGTCCTTTCGTCGTCCTCCTTTCGTTCACCCGTCCGTCACACCGTCCAAATGATCGTCACCGCCCCCGTACTGCTTTTTAAGCACCTACTAACACATGTCTACTGGGCCTAGCTAACATATGAGCGACTAACTTTATTTACGTTAATGGAAACATGCAAGGGGCTGGAACTATTTGTTTGGAAATGTGCATATTTAGCCGCAGAACAAGTTGGGGAACACCCCGAAAACGAGATAGGGCAAACAAGCATGATAACATGGATTAGGATGACATTTTGGCAAGTGCAGCCTGGCAGAGCGTCTTGGGTTCAAGGTTGTTAGATGTAGTGTAGAGTAGACGACCTACGTCGCATGGTCCGTGGCAACTTACCACAGATTTTTCGGGGCAAGTACTGGCCAACCCTACGATGCCTAACTGCAAAGGGTGTGAAGCAAACTTGCGAAGAAGCAGCGCATCTGGTTTGTTCAAGATTTGCCCCTGGGCAATTTTCAGCCGTCCAAAAGCGGGCCATGTTAAAACGAGTTCCAAAACGAGTTCAAAACGAGTTCAAAACGAGTCCCCTACAGCGTCCAAGTGAGTATTGGCCCAGTTCCTCCTCCAAGTATTACTGTTCAACAAATTGTGTAGCAGCAGTTTGCTTATCGAAAGGTTGTGCCGCAACAACGAAGGAGACAAGGGAGGCGGCAAACTAACCAAAGCTCGTTTACTTCTTTAAGCTCCTCTTCTTCAAGCTCTACAGAAAGTTGAGCCAGATAAAACGAGCGCGGTGTTGGAAAACGAGATAGGGGGCTGCGACCGAGCGCGGGGTTGGAAAACGAGTCAGGAACACCAGTCCATTATGCCATGTAGCAAATAAAATCCGTTGCTCATATATTTATATATATATATATATGTATATGCATATTAGACACATAAACTCATATATATATATAGTATTATATAGTTTGGTGCATGTTGCTTGGATGTTAGGACTTTATCTTTTTGCCAGCTAATGGGTTTTTTCATTAAACCACTAAAAGTTAAACTTTTAGCAGGGGAGCAGAAAGCAACCGAGTATATGCATACAACACCTATATATATATATATAAAGTATACGTATATACACACACTTTCTAGCGTCTGTTTTGTTCTTTGTTGGGTTGGAGGCTGGTGGCCGCTGTGCACATTTCAGCAGCGCGCTATCACAAGGTATCGCTCTGCAAAGTGAGTCCAGTCGTCAATACGTTTTGTCCATTGCGCGAGTTGGATGAGTTGCACACGCAGACTGCGTGTTGAGCCGCGTGATTGCTTCATGTTCTTTGTCTTCTATACCCATTATGCCCTGTTGCAAAGAAGGCATAGAAAGAAAAGATGAATCCTTTAGCCTCAACCTGGGATACATCCTTTGTATTGCGATATAGAGGTGAGGGCCATGTCATCTTATGTGTAGCTCCGCAATGGACCTCGCAAAAGTTGCTTATTTAGTGAGTTGTTTTGGACACTCCCAAAATAGCACCGTGCAAGCTTTGCGATTCAGGTTAGCGGACATTGGTTTGCTTTTCGCGGACATGGATTTCCTAGAAATCGATTCAGATTCTGCCACACACATAATATGTATATATATATATATACATAATACGTATATATATATGTATGCATACATAAATGCTGGGTGCTAAATAGCCAACACACTCACATCAACTTGTCCTAAGCCTGGATGCTGTTTTGGGGATGGATATCTCCAGAGCCAGGAGCAGTGGCTGACGATGCAGCAGCTTGCAAGCTTCGACGCGGCCCTGCTGTGGCCGAATGACCTTCATCAGAGGACCTTCCACGAGATCTATCGCCCCGCGGCCAGTCTTCCCCCCTTCCCCCCTTCCCCGCTTGCCCCCTTCCCCGCTTGCCCCTTCCCCCCTTCCCCCCTTCCCCCCTTCCCCCTTCCCCCTTCCCCCCCCCCTTCCCCCCTTCCCCCCTTCCCCCTTTTCCCCCCTTCCCCCCCCCCCCTTCCCCCCCTTCCCCCCTTCCCCCCTTCCCCCTTCCCCCTTCCCCCTTCCCCCCTTCCCCCCTTCCCCCTTCCCCCCTTCCCCCCTTCCCCCCTTCCCCCCTTCCCCCCTTCCCCCTCCCCCTTCCCCCCCCCCTTCCCCCCCCCCCTTCCCCCTTCCCCCTTCCCCCTTCCCCCCTTCCCCCCTTCCCCTTCCCCCCTTCCCCCTTCCCCCCTTCCCCCCCTTCCCCCCCTCCCCCCTCCCCCCTCCACCCCCTTCCCCCTCCCTCCCCCTCGCGAACATAAGCCAAGCGCAAGCACAAGCACAAACAAGCAAGCAAGTGACATCGCTCATGTTTGCGGCGCTGCCGCTTCGCTTCGCTTGTCGAGGGAGAGGGGGGAGTCAGCCCCGGCCCCGGCATTTGTTGGGGGGCACACAACAAAAGTCCCTGGAAAATGGGCCAAATAGCGTCAACAAACATGTTGGACAGTATTTGGTGGGCTGCCCTTTCACAAGTGGTCGAAAGACAGGTGGCTTTTTCACCAGGGTCACTAACTAAGAACTGGGCAAGGCCCTCCCTGCCGGCAACCCAAACACAGAGTGGAGTCTGGCCAGGAAAAGTGCCATGTAGGTTTGTGTCAAACGTATTGCCTCGCTTGCATCGTGATCGGATTGCTTTGTTCCAATTTAAGCATGCCAGCAAGCAGCCGCCACAAGGCACATAAGTGTTGGCTGTGCACACTTCATTTGGCCAGTAGGCTAGGCAAATGAGTAGGCGACACACTGAAGCATGATTCGTGCACATACGCCCCATGTAGTCTTCACGTTCTGCAAAGGGTCCTGTTTATCAAACCTATCCTCCCACGTTAGGTATGGCGATGCCTCTCTTCATGCCGGACTCTTCCGGGCTCTTCCGAGCTCAGCGGATGTCCAACTGGGGCTACGCCTCCTACGGCGCTCAACTGGCAGCCTGGCACCTGTGGGAGGGCACCTGGAAGATCAGCTTCTTGGAGGGACCAATTCCCTGTGAGGTGCCATGTTAGTGGGGGGGAGAGAGAGAGAGAGAGTATTCCAAAACAAACCTTTCGAATTTCAGAGTGAGGCATTTGAGACCGTAAATCACATTCGGTGCCAAGCTTCTCCTCACATTTCTCAAGAAAAACTCACGAAGACGCCCCAAGACTTCATAAAGCGTAGGTCGAGGTCCCTTCTGATGTTCTGAATGTTCGCACGATGGTATGAAACTTGGCCGTGTGAGGGGACTTCCATGGATTGAGGCCAGGCCCGGTGAAAAAATCTTTGGACTTCATCCTTGTACCAATACAACCATCTCTAGAGGCTTCATCTCGCTTTGTGTAAACATATTGGACTCAAGCACGGTTTGGAAAGGGAACACACGTGAAGCCGGCTATCTAGGATGGTCTCGACCGCTTGAGCTTGCATTGCATGTTCAGCCAAGCACTGCTCAGGCAGAGCTTGAACCGCAAGACAGGCTGGGGCAGAATTTGTTTGCCGCGGGTCTCACTGCTAGTGAAGCTCAAGATTGCTTTTGTTGACTGAGCCGTGCAGTGGACTGAGCTTAACCTATGCGAGCTGGATACAATAGTCGTGGGCATGGCACCGTTCATCTCACAATCAAGCTGGATGGTGGTTGGTTTGCTCCTCCTGGGAGTTCTTTCTCAGGGCGCAGGGTCTCGGTTGCCCAGCACTGTAGCTCCTCCCCGGTCCTTTACCTCTCAGTGTGCCTGGCGTCTTTCTTGATTGGCGTCCTTTCCGCTCTGTTCGTGTTTCGGCACGTCTTGCTCCATCCACGCACTGTGGATTTTATTGTGGCCCCGCCTGGTGGCGTTCCTTTGACCCCTGCCTCTCCCAGCTTTCCTGGTGCTTCGGCTCGCTTGAGGCGGCACTTGCATGAACGCTTCAGAGCAGTTGTTTTGTTTTGGTCCTTTTCCCGACGAGTTTTGAATTGACTGACATCATTTTGCAATGACCATGCGGTGCATTTGTTGATTGGCTTTAGCACATGATTAGATGCTACTGAACCCCATCATACCAACCTTCCCAAACCATAGGAATTGCACGAGTGGGCCTCCATCACTTCCAGACCTCCCAGATTTGAGGTGTGGGCTCACAAAGTCCGGCTCGGAGATAACATCGGTCCTTGGATCAGACTCCGAAGGTTTGTTTTCCCCCTAGCCCATTTGGGGGGGGGGGGTTGTGCCCATCCGGCAGGCATCCTTTTCCACCCTGGTGGAATTCCTTCAACGTGACGCCGGAGGTGGTGACTTATTGGGAGCGCTATTCAGACTGGCAGATGCCCCACGTGCAGCGTGCCTTTGCAGATAACCCGCGGTTTGAGGCCTTATGTCGGTTCTTCAACTAGGATGTGGAACTGAAAGCAAAGGAGGGCCAGTTTCCCACAGGTTTTACTTTGAACCAACACGAAAAGGGGTACCCTGAATCAGAGAGACAGGCCCATGTAACTGTTCAACAGACATTCTTGTACAACCCTGAAGGATCGCTCAAGAACGGCAAGAATCAAGGGTGTTCAGGTCCCACTGAATAGGACGGTCCATCCAAACAATATTTGTCCACTGGGCTAGATGGATATGGCTTCAAGATGTTTAAAGTCTTTTGACACCTTCGGTCGGTAGTTTGCAGTCGCACAGTCGGTTGAACGTCCTTGACCCCATGGGCCCGGGTGGAGACAAGTCAGCACCAAAAGCCAGCGGCCACAAGGACCCCGTCATGTCCACATTTCCACATTTCCACCAGGTCCTTCGCCCCATTGGCCGAACTTCGTATCTCCTGTTTCGTCTCCCTGGTAGAAGCAGACACCTGGCGTTCTGACTTGGAATTGTCTCTTTTTGCTAGTGCCGGTTTCTCGCAAACGAGGCTTCTCCAGCCTGCCCGGGTTGATTGTCCAGCTGGAGCGTCTTGATCTTCATCAGACCTCCGCGCAGATGCGCGCCTACCACCTGGAGCTGTGCGAGGCTGCTTGAGGGTAAATGGGAGCCAAAAGTCTTGCAACCTTTTAGATGGGTTTGGATGGGGTTGAAGCCCTTGTTCATGAAGGTAAGCTAAGATGTTGAAAGTCCCCGTAGGTTTGATCTCCACATGGTACCCTATGTTGACATCCACTTGGTAAGAGACATGATTCGCAACCATGATATTTTGTTTAGTTTGCCCAAGGCAATCCAAAAGGGCGGGTAGCATAGTCATAGTTATCTTTTTCCAGACCCCCTATTCAGCACCCAGCATTGTAAAGGGAACCATTCCGGAACATGTATTTTCTACGCAGGCTGAGTTGGTTTCCTCAGTAGTTCTGGCAAAAGAGACGGTGAGGGAGGGACATGGGATCAGTTTGTGCTTTACATGTTCTTCACGCTCTGATGTGGAATGGGGATGCTTTACATGTTCTTCACTGTCCACCCTTTGGCGAATGTGCGCATGCGTGTAGCGGCAAGCTGGAATCGGACATGTGTTTGGTGTTTTCAGGATTTGTTGGAAAGGGGTGCTCGAAGCTAGCTTCACAGACGGATTCATGGAGTCGGTCTGAGTTCCAAAGGGGGAGTTCCTTTGGGCAGTTTCTCGGGCAGTTCCAATTCTTCCGGGGCCAAGGCTGGCGAGCATGTTGCGATTCACCTGTCCTCAGTGAGTTTGGGGGAAGACCAAAGCCATGACATTGGTTGGTCAACTTAGCAAGCAAGCTCCCGACTTTTTCATGTGTTCTGCGAAACACTTCGCTGCCAGCTGGTGCCAGGCAACTCTCATACTGATCTCTCAGCAGATCCTGCCAATCCTGGCCTGAGATCTTCAACATGGTGGCAGCCCTGCGAGTCAGTTGCTCAGCTTGGTTGTTCAAAGCGAATCACAGTGTTGGATGTCCTTGCAATTTGCAGTTGATTTCCTTTAACGGTGTTAGTTTCAAGTTGCAACATACGCAACTTTGATTCATGATTCGAATGATTACTTCTGGCAAGCCAAAATATCCCCTGCATCGCGAAAGGCTAGAGCTTGATTCACACAGGGCCGTATACACAGCATGGATTCTGCAAGACATGCTACATCATGAACATGCTGAGCACATGCTACATCCCGCGAAAAGAAACCTTAGGCTGGCGAAAGGACCTACCAGCGAAAGGACCTGCAGGGATGCAGGATGCGTCAAGACAAAGCGGAGTAACAAGAAGCCATCCACTTTGGATGCGTCGATATAGGAGGGAACCAACATGAAACCAACGAGTTTGGGAAGGTCCCTAGTTTGGGCACAACCTCACGTTGGGGGTTAGCGTAGCCAGATCAATTGGGGCTATGATTTGTTGGCCACGGCCAAGGTGCCTGCACCTCTAAGGCTGGAGGGCAAGGTCCACATGGCTGTGGTGGTCAAAACCGTTTTGGGATCCATTTTTGTTGGGGTTTTCGGTGCACCACCCAATTTGAGTGGTTGGATTGAATCGGATGTTCACTGGGGGTACGATTTGGCTTTTGACCCATGACCACAGTGCTCTTGGAAGCTTGTTTCTTTCTTCGTGGCCCAAATGTACTCGAAGCTGCAAGCATGCTTGTTCAAACATGAGTCAATATGTGATTGCCTCATACTTGTTGCTACTTTGAACATTTGCCGCAGAAACTGGTATGAGGCTGGGTAACCCCTACCACAAGCTGGTATTGGGCTATGCCATGTCGGTATCCCCTCCCATGTTGACAGATCTTCTGTTTGTGCTGCCAGTCTTAGTACTGGAATTCTGTGAGATCTAAGCGTCCCACGGTAAATGTTTGTGTGCTCTTGTTTTGCCCATGTGTGCATGACCTGCCCAAGAGAACATCAACTGCTGTGGCGTCGGTGAACAGGCCAGGCAAACAATGAGCGTGAGGGCAAACAATGAGCGCATGGTGAAGTCCCACGTGTGCGAACACACGGCTTGGGCTTATTCCAAGGCAGCGTGAAAAGCATCTAGGGTAATGTATCCCAACCAATGTTTTGGAGCGCCAACCATCTCAGGCGTGTTGAACACACTTTCTCCATAGCACATGTTTAACGTGCTGCAGCTGTCTCTAGCACGACACTCACGATTGAATCATCCAGAGTAAACCGCGACGATCCAGATGCCACACGCGGATGAGACAGGCGCAGTATCCCATTGTTGTAATCAATGACGACCGGCAGCTTTCTTGGGCAGCCTGTGAGCCCGGTTCACCACAAATTTATTCAGTGCAGATTGAATGCTTTTACCTCACATTTGAGTTCCTACGCAGTTTATGTATGGCACCAGAAAATACGACACGAGTCCGGCATTCCACGTCTGTGTGTCCATGCAGTCGGTGCAACTGATCAGCCATTGTTTGGCTGTTTGTTGAGGTTCTAACGTCTTTCCCACTTGCTGCACAGAAAATGGAGTTCAAAGAGGTTCAGTGTGCTAGCCCTTACACACCTCGAATTGGGGATTATGTCGTTCGGGTCCTTTTGTCAAGGCGTCCTTCTAAAGAGACCATGCTTTGGACACATAGCCATAGGGCAATGAAGAGACCCCTTGTCCCACCAGGCCGCCATTTTGCGACGCCAGTTGCTAGCTTTCCATCTACGGTCTAAAAGGCCCCGGTGTCACCCGAGACCGAAATACTCTTGACAATCGCCAATCAGGGTTGGTTGCGAAAGTTGAAGACAAAAACCACCCGGCCACCTAAGGTCAATAAACGGACGGTGAAATCAACGCATGGTTTGTTTTCCAGTTTTATGAACCAACTCGTCACTCAGGTCCACTCCTAGGTCCCCCAGTGGTGCCTTTTCACCCTTTTTTGGGGATTCCCAAAATAGACTACAGAAAAAAGTTGGTACCCCTATGCTAACCTCTACTGGAGGACCTAGACTCTCTTTGGAGGGTTTAAGCAGCATGCTCCAGGAGCTGTGTCCACCTGCCTGGCAGGCGCCCTCGGCGAGGAGCGCTTCGATCCGGACTCCCGCGCGACGCTCTCTGTGCCGACCTGCGGCAGGTCAGAGAAAGCGGGGCCCCGTCGAATTTCGACACCGGCGAAACTTGCTGAATATCTCAAAGGGGGACCCCTCACGGCACAAAATAATAGTGTGGTTTCTCGATTTCCCTTCAAAAAGGATATCCTGAACAAGCAGACATCCCCAATCTAGAGAGGCTCCGAAACGACAATCGTGTGTCTTCATGTAGCAATGTCCAAGCGAGTTCAACGAGTCCTCATGGTCAGAAATTCATGCCATTGTTTTTTTCTTCTCCTAATGTTTCCGAAAGAGCACAGCCTATGTCTGACTGCCGTTTTCTCAGCGTGCTCATAGACTTTCTTTTGGGTCTCCCCGCTGTCGGCCGCGCTCGCCAAAGAGAGCAGGCGAAGGCTGCGCTTGTCTCCTTTGAGAGATGTCTGCGCGGATGAAAAGCTTGCGCGTGTGCCATGAGACCTGGATGCGGGAAGGACAGCAAAAGTGGAGAAGGACAGTCCCCCCAAGACAAATAAAGGGGTGTTGTACATTTGGTTTATGAGCTGGTCAATCCTTAATTAATTTGAAGACAATGTAAAAAGTCATTTGCTGTGTCAGTGTCCAACTTGTTGTTTGTTGGGTTTGGGGAGAGGCGAGCCTCAAGCCTATGAAGGAAATGTGTATTGGCAGAGGCGTCAGCAATGGCCTTTTTAACTTAATTTTGAGTTGTTGTCTCTTGGTTTTGTTTTGGGGACCAAGAGGACCTTGGTTAAAGAGGGGTTTCGATGGGTGTCAAATATGGACTAGGTATTGTTTTTTTGCCAACCCTTGTGTGACCCTTTGAAGTATTGGCTGGTACTCGCGGGTGAAAACGGACCGTCTTCAATCGCAGGGGGTAAGTCAATCGCAAGTCAGCATTAACGGAATCATAGACAAGACCCACGATTTTGCAGTCCGATTAGACACCCTCATGCAAACATACACACACATGGGTCACATGTTTGTCCTAGGAGTGCTGTACTTCAGCGTGATGGCAGCAGTTGACGCGCATGAGCAACCCTTCTGAGAGTTTATGTCGGTTCCACATTCTATCCCCTTCGGGAGCCTTGTCATTCTTCATGTTTCCTCTCGTTGCGGTGTTTTTATCTTGACGTGTTGCCGTTGCAGAATGACTGGGCCTCCATCCATGACGAATGCTGCTGACCTTAAATGACTGGCGCTGCACAAAATCGATAGAACCGCAGCTTACTCGTGGCTCCTCCGCTGCAGCACGCCTTGCTTAGACAGAGACCGCGGACCGCAGTCACTGAGTGCTGCTTGGGCGAAGTGAAATATGACCCACCCAGATGCTTCACAGCCAGACGTCAACGGTTAGCCTGACTCTTGATGGATACTCGCAGCTGACATGTGGTTTGTTCAACTACGAAAACTCAGGGGGTTAGATGCCATTATAGCCTACTCCTGGAATCATGACGAAGCTTGGTTTCAATTTGGGCCGTCAAGGCATACTGTCGAATGACCCAGTAGCACAAGCTGTGAGTCACCAAGGCAAGCAGACGGCCGAGGGGCCCTGGAGCCCTTTGAAGGCAAAGTGGCAAAGCATCGACTGGGACATGTCTGGTGGTGATTTCGGTTACATGGACATCATTCGATTTATATAGTCATCCCCTTTGCCACAAAAAGGTTGGAATTGTGACATCTACTTTCACCCAGCACCAAAATCAGCGAAGCGGTTCTGAGAGAACATGCAACCCGGTAGAGATCCTGGTCTGATTCTCTTGTGCTCCTTGGGCCCAAGTAAAATCCTACCTGGTTCTCCGCAGCGAAGGCAATGACCCCCTTGTTGCCATCCAACTGGTGGTTCTCTTGAATCCCCATTGGTTCATTCGCACCCGTCCAACTGTTGTTTCCCGAAAGGGGATATCCTTCTGGTTCATTCCCAATAGGGTATCCCTGAGTCATTCTCTACTGAGCAGACTTCCAGGAGTGAAAACAGTTCCCTTTAAAACCAACAAGGGAGAAAAAACAAACATGTTTTGTTATTGTTGTTGTTTTTCTTCTTTAAAAACAAATAGGAGAAAGAAAAAAAATGCAAGCAAAGAAAAACAAACAGCAAGAACACCTACCTGGTGCCCTTCTTCTTCTGGAGCGATTTTTCACAAGTTAACGCCATGGAGGCGCCCCGAGGCCCGGCACTGGACGGACGAAAAAATTGCCAAAAGTTTGCCAAACAAATCGGGGCTTTCTGAGAAACCGGAGGTGGAGGTGGTTTCCATGAATCCCTTCCCCCTTGTCCAGACCGGTTTTGTTTTTTTTGGGGGGGGGTCCGGGTTTATTATAGGGAAGAGATTACCCTCCCGTCTTGGAAGACCATCTTCCTTTTAAAGGGAGCCCCGAAGGTCAGGCTCCGTGTTAATTGGTGGGCGGGTATTGAAACCACTCGTCCATTGATCAGCTCGAGGGGAAATCCATGTTAAGCTGACGACTGGTTGAGTAATACCCTCTGGAGGCAATGTCCAAGGCATTCGTTTCATGATGACTTTTTTGCTTTGGGACCAACTGGCTGTCATGATTGGGCTGAAACCCAATGCCACTTGCTTGCCATGTGACATGTATTGAGGTCGTTGAGGCATTGAAAGGCATCATAAGCAGCAAATGGATCCGGCATGTCCCTGTGCCTATTTGACATGTGCTTAGATGATCCCATGTTAGACTATCGTGATTGGATATGTTTGACGCTTGTTTGCAGTCCTCCAGCGACGCCCGGCTTTATCGTGCATTCGCCGCGACGATCGCTGGAGAGCCAGGAAGTTGGCTGTTCGGGTGGGCCAAAGCCATCAAGAAGTCCCACTTTCCGTTCGATC